ATGCTCTAACTAGTGAAATATAATATACCGTTGACCTGGATATTAGTCTTCAATATTACATTAACCGTACGTGGGGGGTGTACCAATTTAACTTACACCCCGGGTGTATCCATTTAACTTACACCCCCGGGTGTACAGAATATGTTACACCCCCTGGTGTACGCAAATAATCGTACACCCGGGGTGTACGTTAAGGAGGCCCTATTTCGTATATCGATATGGTAAAGTACAATTCATACACAGCATAAAAATTCTCCTAACTAAACGTTTGTGGAACTAGGAAGGGGATTTACGTTCATTCGTATGCGTTTGTTTTGAAGTGTCGCAGCAAATCATATTATTAAAGAAACATTGTGTTAAGCCATCTGATGATCGTCTGATAGATCATCTCTCCCTTCGATGGCTCGATACCATATTTGGTAAAAATCCCCTTTTAAGAATATGTGATATACCAATTGGTGATGTGAAAGTACAGTGATTTAATATATAATATTTGTTCGTTACAGTACAATACTTACATATACCTTCCAACCAAACGTTTCTTACCACCGTGAAAAATGGCGACCACTTAAACATTCCTAACACAATTGTCTCACAATTCACCAACCATTTCCTCTCAAGAGTCTGACTCGATCGTGATTATACGGACTTTCATTACATACTGTGTTATTTATGTGATAATAAACTTTGTCTGATTATGATTGGCGAATATGATTTGTGCTACCCAATATGATCAAATTCTCATTACCTTTTTGTCATAAACTGATTTCCAAAATGGATTGGCTCGTGAGAATGATGTAATCTAAACCTTAAAGCATATCTTAATAAAATTTTTTTTCTTTTGTATGTCACGTCACGGCTCTGGTTTCTGAACAATTGACAGTATTTATTTTCATAAGCGAAAAGGTCCGAAACACTAGTGGTTCTAATTCCGGGTCCAAGAATCGGTCTTTTTTTATTATTCAAATCTAAGATACTAAACGGATATGTGTGAATCCTCACTATGTATTTCAGCTGAAAATCAAAATGGCTTCACTACGCATAATTAGTGGTATATGAGTGTTGTATCAGCGTGGACTGCAACAGGCACAGACAAAACTTTAGTTCTGTCCTCTCCCGTAAGATAGAAGCGATAGGATAGTATGCACGTAGATGTAAATTATGTTCTTGTAACCACTCACGGGCTGCCTGAAAGGTGATACCAAAGTACCGAGCATACTGGAATACAGATATAAAGCTCGATGTTTTTAAAATATTTTATGATACCATTTATTGAATAACATTCATTCAAAAAGGACAGAGGAAGTACAAGAAGAATATTTTCTTTTTCCATAGGGTACAGGCCGAATTTGTGGTGAAATCGGACAAAGTTTGAGACAGCGTTTAGGTGGAGGATTACAACAAGCTCGACATGAAAACGTATTGGGTCTTTTAAGTTTTTGGGTAAAGCGGCGTCCGGGTACAGCTATTCAAATGAAAAAAGTAAGTTCGAGTTTCTACAAACACATTCAGGGTAAAATAATTGGCTACAAATAATAACATGGAGTGCAAGAAAATTGTGCATATGCTTCTTGTGAAGAAATTTTTGAGCAAAATTACGGAGCCAACTGTTGTAGCTCTTGATGTTGTTGTATGAAAAGTTATCAAATACGTGTTGTAGTGTAGGAAATGCCACTGTTAAAAGAGACCATTAGCAGCGAAATCTATAATAGTCTCGTATTCTTGTTGCAAGGCAGATATATCAACGATGTTAATGTTCTGACCCAAATCAAAATAAGCTCAGAGTGATATTTATTCGACATAATCACATAATTTATGCTACACAACAGAGTATGTATTACTAATATAAAACATTCTTTATTTCGGAAAACGACCGAACAATATTTAATAAAACGTTTCTAATGATTTGAACATTGGTTGTTGTTTAGATGACAACGTTGACTACATATGCTATTCTCTTACATGAACACCTTGTTGAACAGCCTGATTGACAATGACATGCACTTGATTCATCACTATTAACTGCCGCCAGACGCTTTGCCACTTCAGCTAGTGAGACAGTTGCATCTGGTATGTCTTCCAACTCATGAAGGCTTGCTAATGTTGGTTCAAGGTCAGCCGCTTGATAGCAAGCATTCAACGTACCCAAGTCTATATAGCCCATCTCTTACAATCTCTATGTAAAAGACTTCGAAATAATGTTAGTAATCTCAAAGTCAGTGGACGGTTTATTAGACGTTCAGCTAAAAGTCATTGTTTTATTGAGTAAGATAATGTTTTTTTATATTTACATATTCCCGCGACGATATCTGTATATAACTATGACGATATACGATATAAAAAATATATATATAATTATGACTACATAATAACTAAATAATAAAAGCGTAAACATATTACGACATAGATAATACACTAAATAGTATCGTTTTCACTATTACTCAATGTTTACGATATTGCAATATCGTAATCGTAACAATTTGCAAATTGTTACACCCTACAGGATACACGTTGGAGTTTTTACGGTAATTTTGAGGGAAACCGAGTTCGAGCGGCAATCGCTCGAATAGTGGATTATTTAATGCTTTTGGCTGCTTTTTTAGTCGCCTGTTCTTTTTTAAATACTTCGGCAGTTAATCGATTTATTTTTTGCTGAACTGTTTTAATTTTTTCGTCATACTGAGCAGTTAAGAGTATATTAAAAAGATGTTAATATAGC